CTACTGGTCCGTCGCATGCCCCGCCCTTTGGTAATCCCCGAAACCTCAAAATGCCCACCATTTGGAACGACCATTAACGTTGAAATTTCAATGACGTTGAAATGTCTCAGGGGGGAAAAACGGCAACCCTGACAGGCTGCAGACTAGGCTTGAATTACACATGTGCGTAAGTTTTCTAAAAGAAGTATCGAGTGGTTAAACTGCATGTCCTATTCGACCGGCATAAAGACCGGCTTAAGAGATCAGCGCCTCAAGCGTCGGTTCACAACTTCACACACAAATCTAATTCAGGTGTTGACCTCACATACCCCCTATGCTACAGTGAAACAAGCAACGCCCTCGGCCGGGTCACCTCTGCGTATGTCACATAGAGGCCTTCGCAAGTGGCTCAGTAGCTCAATGAGGATACGCCTACCAGGCCCTACGTAAAGGTGGTGTCAACCACTTGGGTAGAGGTATGTTGTACATCACGTAAACCTATCCTGTCGTGGGGTTTCAAGAGAGGTATGGCTGGCGCACTCGGTGACTCGGCCGGAGCGACAAGGCTGCATCTTTGTGTGCATTCGATAAGTTCTTGCAAAAATCCTACGTCACGCGGCTGGGAGGGCCCCCGTGCGAGACCAGTGCGCTCGACAACTTACCGATTATCGAGCCTACAACGTTGTAGGATATGCCAACTTGAACCGAGTTACGGTACTTGGTGGCCCAGGAGCAGCCACAACTACGCCAGTTTGGGTCTTCCCTCAGAAAACGGTTAATGGGCAAAAGCACAATGCTAGAAAGGAAGTGTTCCAGGAGAGATAGCAGGATGATCCACCATGTTCTACCCACCCACCAACACGTCTGCAACCTCCTGGGAGGTTGGGATATATCAATTGTTTAACCGACTGAGTTACTGTCCTTCCTGCTCCGGGAGCCAAACCTGTGCCAAGCCAGGAAACAACTATGTGGGGTTTATGTGACACCCGCGGCCTAGGCCACCGGCGATTTGGCCGCCACGACCGAAATAGTCAGTCGCAGCCGCGACCGCCAAGCCTAGTGAACGACCTGATTTTTTGGATATTTTTTTTTGGGGAAAAAAATAAGTGAAAAAAAAATATATATATATATATATATACAGGGTCACCAGCCCGTGCGTACGGAGGTCTTCGGGCAGACCTTCGTACGTACGGGCGTTCGAGGTCCCGTACGGGGTCCGAACCTGACGGCGTTCGGCCCCGGCCAAAAATTATTTCGGGACCTAAAAATATTTATTTATTTCTAATAGTTTTTTTCTGAGCTCTCTATGACGTGCAGTACATGTCTGTAAATTTTCAAGTCATTTGGCTAATCCAAATAAGACCTAAAAATTGCCAAAGATGGCGGTGTCAAAACGTGCTCGCCCAGTGACACGTATTTTTTCACTTTTTACTTTTTGTTTTTACTTTAGTTCGGGGTCTAACCAATTTTATTATTTTTTGAAACGTTTTTATTGGGTTTTTTACTATGTGCAGTACACATCTGTAAATTTTCAGATCATTTAGCTGTACCAAAAACAAATGAAAAATCACCAAAGATGGCGGTGTCGAAAACGTTCTCGCGCACTGACTAAATTTATTTCTCCTTTTATTTTTATTTATTTTTTCGTATTTTATTTTTATTTCACATTTGGTAAGGAATTAGGATGTAATTATTCGGAAAATCTTGCTAAGGTCATTTTTCTCCATAACATTTTTTTTTTCCAGATTTCTTTGATGATTTTTTTTTTTTTTT